CCCCCAGCTCACCTGGATGGGCAGGACAATGAGCGCCACGCAGATCATGATGACGACCAGCAGCTGGGAGGGCCAGATCTTGGGGGTGACGTCCCCGAAGCCCACGGTGGAGAAGGTGACGATGCAGAAGTAGAGCGAGTCGAAGAGGGTCAGGTTGTTGCCCGCGCGCTCGAGGTGCTGGATCCCGCAGATGCTGGGGGGGCGGGGGAAGAGCCAGCCACCGGTCAGCGTCACAGCCAGGATCATTGGGATGGTTGTGACGAAGTGGGGGATTTTCTGGGGGGTTTTTTCATGTTTTTTCAATGGTTTGCATGCGGAGGGGGTGGGACTCAGTTTCCCTGGGGGTTACTGGTTTAACGAGGTGAGAGGAGAGGGAGTTCATTGGGACACAGGACTGGAGAGGGAACTTGGGACCCAGCCGATGGCCGGGAGGATGGAGACCCCAGCGACTGGGGACCTGACGACCCAGAGACCCAGCTCAGGAGTTGCAGCCGGTTCTGGCCAGTGGGAGGAAAATGGGCAGCGGGGAGAGGACCCCGGTGACCTGACCAGCCGGTTCCAGCCAGAGGGGGCCAGAGGAGGGCTGAGAGGAGATGAGGCCCAGGCCACCCTGTTTATGACCCTGTTTCCCTGGAGAGAAGACAATGGACAGAGACGGGACTTGGGGGCTGGGGATATCAGATGCCCAGCTGGGAAGCAGGGGGGCTTGGGGCTGGAGAGGGGGAGCAGGCAGAGCCCCCCTGGATGCAGAGAGACTGGGATGTGCTGGGCTGAGGGAAGCCAGGCCTGAGGCCGGAGAGTTTCCTGTGCTGGGTTCAATGCTCAATAAACCCTCCTGTGTTACGCTGGCTGAGAGTCGCTCCGGTCTAGAGAACAGGGCGGGGGTGGGCATTATTCCCTTGGGGGTGGAGGCCCCGGGGGGTCCAGGGCGACGGGACTCCCTGAGGGGGCCCACGGCGAGAGACAGACATGCTAAGGCTCAGAGAGGTGCAGCTCCAGGAGGTGGAGGGGCCTGACCCCGAGAGAGAGTGGACCCCCGAGAAGGGCTGTCGCACTGAAAGGGGCACCCCCCACGGACCGCACGGGGCCAGGAGTGGGCACGATCTGTGCGTCTGTGACAACGGTAAATACCCTGGCGACGCGCTGCCTGGTGAGTGACGTGCCTCGCCCCAGAGCTGGCTGCAGCAATGCAGCATTGGGGTGGGGCAACCCCACGCTGACCCCTGCAGGCGGGCGGGGGTACAGCATGCCACACACTCAGCCTGGCTGGCTCTGGGGGTTCAAGGCTCCGGGCCCAAGTGGCAGGCGGCCAAGGCCCAGCTGGGCTGCTGTCCATGGTCCTGCCCCTCAGCTGCCCCCGGCAGCACAGCTCCAGCCACGCCCCAGCAGCCCCCAGGGGGGCGCTGCCGAGCCCAGACCCTTTGCTCCTTCGAAGGCCAGGGCCCGGGGCCAGTCTGAGCGGTGTCCCTGCAGCTGGGGAGGGGCAGGGCCCCAGCAGAGCATGGTGCCTCCCCGGGCCCCACTCACCAGGTGAACATCAGGCAGACCAGGGTGCAGACCAGAATCAGGACCTGGTTGAACATGGCGGAGTGCGTCCGCTGGATGGCGCGGTGGAGATCGTTCTGCTGGGACGAGAAGCGGGAGGGGGGGCGTTGAGGGGCCGGGTGCTGCCGTCCCCTCCCCCACCCGGCAGGCGACACAGACGGCCCTGCACAGCTGGGACACACGACACGCACACTGAGCCCGGCACGTCTGGGACATTCAGCAGAAACCCCAGACCCAGCTGGGACTGTGGGCGCTGCTCATTGGCATGGTGTGTGCCCCATCCCCACCCCCTGCCAGACGGGGCCAGGGAGCCATTTGCTGCTGCCTGAGAAGGGCCAGCAGAGGCGAGAGATGGGGGAGGCAGAGCCGTGTCCCCCACCCCTGGGCGAGTCCCCCCTTCCCCAGCCTTGAGACTCACAATCATGTTCTCCAGGGCGTGCTTGGCCAGCCAGCAGTTCAGGAACACCGGGATGAAGAGATTGCGCAGCGGGGGCCAGAACACCTGAGCATGGGGGGGGGGGGGAATTAGCAGTGCGGGGGCACAGAGCCCCACAGAAACCCCCCCCCCCTCCTCGCACAGGACAGACCTCCCAGGAGCAGGAATCTGCCCTGCCCTGTGATTGGCTGGATGTGGGAGGCTGAGGCCCAGTCAGGGCGGGGGTGGGGATGGTATCTTGTAGGGATCCCACTTCTGCCACCATGGGTCCCTGGCCTAGGACAGGAACATGACAAGGGCCAGTCAGCTTAAGGGTGGGGGGTGACACATCTGGGGGGGAGGGTTATTGAGGGAAGCAGTGAGATCAGGGAGGGATTTAGTTGGGGCTGGGCTGGGACGCTTGGTGGGAAGGGTGGGATGGAGAGGTTAGCGGGAGTGATGGGATCTAGTGGGGCAGGGGATGGGGGGCTGGTGGTGGAAGGGGGTTAGTGGGGCAGGGGATGTAGTGGGGGAAGGGGGGATGGGGAGGCGGTCCCTGGCTCCGACTCACGGTGATGAGGAAAGGTGCTGTGTTCATCATCTCCAGCATGAAGGGAACCCGCAGAACCTGCTCCCACAAGTTCCCCTGGCGACGGGAGAGAGGAAATCAGAGCCCAAGGCCTCCCGCCAGGAACAAACAACAACGGATCCCCCTGCCCCCAGCCCTGGCCCCCCCTTCCCCAGTTCACTCAGGATTGAGGGGCATCAGCTGACCTGACAAGGGAGCCCAGGGCTGGGCTGGCAGGGGCTGCGGGTCGGGAGTGAGGGGCACCGGCCGAGCTGGGGGGCAGCCCAGGGCTGGGCTAATGCGGGGCTGGGGGTCCGGACTGAGGGGAACCAGCCGAGCTGGGGGGAGCAGTTTCCATTAGTCCTGTCCACACGGCTCTATCCGTCTTTCACCAAACTACCGCAGCCTGTTGTAAAGCCGGGGGGAGGGGGGAGCTCTGCGGGTGCTTGTCTCCCCCCAGGTCCCACAGCTTTAATGATTCTGCTCAAGGGGGGGGGTCGTTAAAAGAAACGAAGGGGAAAGATCTGGGAACTCCCAGCCACTTGGGCGCCAGACGGCTGATTGGGGAAAACTGGCCTCGTCAATCTCAAGAGTTGGGGGGGCATTAAATCCATCTACCCTGCCCCCCCCCGGTTACAGGCTCTCTCCCCTTCAGTCCCAGCCCCGCTCCCCCCATCACCAGGGAATGGGATGATCCCAGGACATCCTGCCTGCCCCCTCTCTCCCCATCCCCCCCAAATTGCTCATCACTCCAGGGGCATCCGCTAGCTGCCTCAGGAGGGAGCCGGGTTGCCACGTATTGGGGGATTGGGGACGGGGCTGGAACCCCGAGGGCCAGATCCTGAACTGGGGTAAACCAGGGTGTTTCCATCGATTTACACCCGTGCCGGGTCAGGCCCCCGCCCCTGGCTCGCTCAGAGGGACCCCCCACCGCTGTAGCAGGAGATAGCAGCGGAAAGGCAGAGATCTCGGGAAGGGGGAATGGGGGGGGGCAGAGGGGGAACCCGCTTTCTCCTGCACAGAGCAGCCCCCCCCCCCACCCCGGTTGTACCTTGTAGCCGAGATACACCAGCAGCATCGTCTCCAGGAAACTGATCAAAGCCACCAGCACCTGGGGGTGGGGAACAGAGGGAGGGTCAGTAGGGGAATGACGCTGACAGCCCCACATGGAGCCCGGAGCTTTCCCCACCAGCGCACGGCCTCGGGCATCCCAGGGGACTGGGAGAGGACCCCAGCTCCGCCGAGCAGCCGGCGGCCCAACAGCCCGGGGACGACGGCTACAATTTGGTCCTGGGTATTTTTAGTAAAAGTCAGGGACAGGTCGCGGGCGATAAAGAAAAATTCACTGAGCCCGCGACCTGTCCCTGACTTTTACGAAAAATACCCATGGCCAAATCTTCGCACCACCTGTAGGGGCTCAGAGCTCCAGGGTCCCCCTACCACCCGGGGCAGTGGGGAGCTGCGGGGATCCCCCTGATGTCCATGGCGGCTGGGAGTTTGGGGGCCCCGCTGCCTCAGGGAGGACCCCGCGGCTCCCAGCCTCTGGTGCTGAAGTCACAGAGGTCTTTGGAAGTCACGGATTCCATCCGCAGCCGGAATGATCCCCGGGGCCCTTGGCCAGATGGTAGATATTTAAAGTGAGTCATTCTCCACCCCGACCCTGACCCCGACCCCTCTCCCCCAGGCTGGCTGGGGCTTCCGAGTCCTGGGCCTTCCTGGTTTCCGCTTTTCGCTGCCTGGGATCAGCTGTTCCCTTGCCCCTTGTGTGTGCAGCATTGCCCAGCGGCTGTTAAACATGGCCGGGTGACCACGCCCCACCCCAGAGGTGGCTGCATGTCAGCGCCCAGAGAAGCAACCTCTGGGATCCTTTGTGAGGAAAGAGGCTGGTGAAACTGCCGACACGCCACCTCCCTCGATAACCCATGTGACCAGCTCAGTCCCCTCCCAGTGGGGGGGTCCCTCCATGTGTCCATCACACCCCCAAGGCAACCCCCCCAATACTAGGACACAGACTCCTAGGCCCCCACAAGTCACTAACCCCCATGCGCTCCAGCCCCCCGCTGCTCTCCCTGCAGACCCCCCCACTCACCTGCAGCCCCCAGAGGGGCAGAGGCCTATTCACCCAGATAATCGGGGTCCTGGAAGAGAAAAGCCACATTGAGGGCAGGCTCCAGCGCTCCCCAGCCCTGGTCCCGCCGGCTCGGCGCCTCCGGACACTTACCAGTCAAATTTATTCAGGTGGTGAGCGGAGTGGTTCTGCCTGGGGCAGCCCCAGCTGGAAAAGCAGAGGGAGACAGACAGACAGACAGACTTCTGAGCCCCCGGCCATCGTCTCCATTCACCGGGCCGGCCCTGGTTTCTGCCCCCCCATCGCCACCCCGGGGTGTCCGCTGTGATCTCCGTGCCAAAGTTGCTCAGACAGCCTCTCCTGCCCGGCACGTGCAGCTGGCACGTCTCTGGGCAGGGTGGGGTGATTGGCGCCCCGGGCCGAGCCAGCGAACCCAGCGGTGCTGTGGCAGAGAGCATTCTGGGTAACGTGGGGGCTGCCCATGGGGCACCCGTGCCCACCCCACCCTTTCTGTGCGGCTCCCAGCATGGCGCTGCCGGTCACCGTAGGGCTGTGTCTCCTGGCCGCCCGCAGCCAGGGGGGCTCTGAGCTAATCACGGCCAGGGCAGGGGGGGCCTCACTCACCAGCCCCCTCGGCCCTCCTGGGGGTCGTCCAGCAGCACCCGGATGATGTACAGGAGACAGCTGAGCAGTTTGAGGGAGAAGTTAAACAGACGCACCCGCAAACCTGAAACACACACGGGGGTGAGACTGGCAGTGCCCCTAGCGCCGCGCTGGGGTGAGCACAGACGGCGAGGGCAAAGCCCCCACCCCACTGCCAAGGGAACCCAGGAGTCCTGACGCCCAGGCCTCCCTGCTCTAACCGCTAGACTCTACTGCCCCTCCCAGAGTTGGGGATAAACCCAGGCGTCGTGGGTCACAGGATTCCTGCCTCAAGCCCACATCTGATGGTCGAGCTAGAGCGAGCGGGGCCCCAGGACAGACAGTAACGCCCACGAGGCGAGGGAGATGGGGCTGGAGGGGAGAAACGGGAGGTTCCCGGGCGCTCCGAGCTGTGATTCGGTCCCATCCTGTGGCCCAGGCAGACCCAGTTCGGGGCCCCGGCAGCTGCAGACCCACAGAACCGTCCATCGCCGTGAGCTGTGGTGCCTGGGCCGTGGGGAGGCCGCGCCCTGCTCTAGCCGTCCCAGACTATGCGCCGGGCCCCCCCCCAGGACTGGGGGCGGCCGGAGCGACTCACTGGAGCGCTGGTTCTTGATGAAGAAGAGTTTCAGCCGCTCCTTGAAGGTGTTTTCGTTGACGTAAAACTCCACTTGGACCCTGCGAGAGAGACGGGGTCAGTGGGGGACGAGCTGAGGCTGCAGGGACCCCTTGGAATGGGGCTCCGGACAGATCCAGGCAGCCTCTGCCAGGCTGGGTCAGCACCAGAGACAGCTCCCCAGGGTGCCACCTTCCCGGACACAGTCCAGGGGCTTTTATCCCCACAGTGCCCCAGGAAGGCAGGGCAGGATCAGTGACTTGCCCACGCTCTCCCCGGGGAGTCGGTGGCAGAGCTGGGTGGCCACCCCAGATCTCCGAGTCCTGGCCCAGCGCCTGCATCCCATGCCCAGCCTCTCCCCACTAGGTCCTATCGGGCTGGGGTCCCCCTTTGCCTTGTGTCTGGGGCTGGCAGAGCCCGGCGACTCCAGGCCCTCACTCCAGTGCGTCGCTTACTGCTGGGCGCTAATTGGCTGGCAGGACCCTAAGCTGGACTCGCTTCACTTGGCCTCCAGCGAGTGGCATCTCGTTAGCTGTGATCACTGAGCCGGAGAGGGAGCCTGGGGTGGTACCAGGCCTGGGGGGGGGTGCAGGGAGGGACGCTGGCATCAGTGATGTGCCAGGATGCAGGGAGCAGCCAGACGTTTGGATTCCAAAGCCCCTTGTGGTTGTGCCCCCAGAAGAGCAGCGGCGATCGGATCCTACCCCCCGGCTCCGCTCCAGGCCCATTGGCAGAATTGCTGGTTCTGAGAGCTCAGAGCCTTCACCCCCAGCGGGGTGCCCAGCCACAAGCCCGGCTGAGCGGCTCCCAGATCCCCCCACTGGCATGTTCTTGCTCCTGATGAACCACCAGCTCCGGCAACCTCAGCCCTAGGCAGGAGCAGACGCTATCGCATGCGGGCTCCCCGTGTGGCTTCACGTTCAACTGGATCATCCTCAGGGAAAGGACCGTCCCCCATGCCAGAGCTGGGAAGAGAACACAGGCGTCCTGACCTGCTGCACCAGCGATGGCACGCGGCCACCTCCCCTCCGCCAGCGAGCGGCTGCATGAGGCCTGCTGCAGGGATACTCGGCTGCTGGTTTCTCCCCACCCCTCCCCATAGCACCTGCCTCGTTTGCATTCGTCAGGAATCCTGCATCCATCACCCCGATCATCAGACAATGCGCCGGGCGGAGGGAGGCAGCCGCAGTAATTTCAGGCGCCCCCACCTGCTTGAAACCCAGGACTTGGCTTTGCCCATGTCATTCGCCCCGGGAACCAGTGGGCATGGGGGGCAGGGCTGGGTTACGGCCCTGCACTGGGACCTGGGCCCAGCGCCTGGCATCAGCGGGTGAGAGCAGCCTCGTGACATTCATCCACCAAACATCCAGAATTACGTTTCTAGCCCTTAAAAAGCAACAGAGGGTCCTGTGGCACCTTTGAGACTAACAGAAGTATTGGGAGCATAAGCTTTCGTGGGTAAGAACCTCACTTCTTCGGATGCAAGTAATGGAAATCTCCAGAGGCAGGTATAAATCAGTGTGGAGATAACGAGGTTAGTTCAATCAGGGAGGGTGAGGTGCTCTGCTAGCAGTTGAGGTGTGAACACCAAGGGAGGAGAAACTGTTTCTCTAACTAACTAACCTCGTTATCTCCACACTGATATATACCTGCCTCTAGGAGATTTCCATTACTTGC